ACCCCCCCCTCCCCTCCCCAGACATCAGCCTCTTTGATACAACATTGTGGGTAAGTTTTTCACTTTAGTCTTCTGCAAGTTAGTTCTGTTCTAATTAATATCTCAACCCGTATGAGGGATTCCCTGCATCTCGCAGACATCTCAGCCATTTTCTTTCTCTTAATTTTCTTCCAGTGTCAACACAACTTTTAGAAGCATCAAGGCACTGTTTTTCGTAGGCTTTCAAGTCACTCTTTCTTTTTAAACGCCTGCTAAGTCAACCTTAACTTCATGGTTACAAGTACCACCACTTTCTGCGCTTTTATTTGGCTTCATTCACAATGCAAATACAAAACAGAACTTCAAAGTTGAGCAGAAATCCTTTTGCTTCACGATAGTCCAATTCCTTTCCACATTTCTTTTCAAGCATGCAATGACAGGATTATCTGGGGATTAATTACTTGAAACTCAATCTGCATCACAGGTCACAACTTTCAAGTATTTTCAGCTCTTAAAACTTTCGTATCAACCAAGTATTTGTCACACAGATCAATACTTACAACATATAAGATACTCTTCTTTCCACACAAATGTCTCAGATGGAGGTCTCAAAGCACAAACAAAAATCCTGCTTACTGTGCAAACTCCAATCCTCCCACCCCAAGTTACAGTCTTATTCCCAAATGGAAACCTGACTGCTTTCCAAAAATGTCGCCTTTAAGGGCACAAAAAAGATCATTCAAAAAAGCAGTATTCTCTGCTTCCTGCATTGTCCCTTAAAGGCAACTGCTCTTCTGATAAAATATACTTACTCTCTGGAAGGTAACCTAAACTGTCAGTTTAAGTGTAATGTGATGATTTTTTATTAACTTTTTCCACAAGAATGACAATGGCCTGGATCAAAATACATCTGTGTCCACATATTGACTCAGAACTGACTGTAAAATTTGGTCAGCAGCACAGCAGGACTAGTCTAGGCTGGACACTTCATGGAAGCCAGTCATTTGAAGGGAGTCTTTTTCAATAAAAAGGGTCATCTAAATAATCACGGCATATAATAAGATAGTTCCTTAATTATGATATCTAGTGCCACTGTCATCCTAGTGGAAACACATGATCGACATGGTAAGGACAAATGTTCCAAAGTAAAGATGTCTACATTTTCACTATGATTAAGTCATAAAAGCAAAGAATAAAAATGCCTCCAGTCCTTTTTTTTTTTTATGACTTGTGTCCTCCAATCAACAGGAAACATTCAGGTTCACGGGCTAGGTGTAACTGTATTCTATTTATTTATTACTTTATTTTGTTTATAGATCTTTTCTCGTCCAGTGCATTCCTGTTGTAATGGCAAAACAAAACAAAACCAAAACCAACCCCCCTCCTCTGCCATTAAAGCTCACTTTTTACAAAAAATAATCTTGGGTCAAATAAGATCTGGCAATATCACTGTGAAAATATCCTCAAGTGATTCTTTGCAAACAGATTTAGGTTACCTATAACAAACTAATGGCCCCAAAAGACCATATTTTAATTTTATATTGAACCTAGTCTGATGTCTATGTCATAAAAGAAGCAAAAATTAACCGCACCCCCCACAGGGCACATTTTACTTGCTGCTCTGAAAACGAAAAAAGTCAAGAGCAGGAGAGAAGAGCAAAAAAGAAAGGCAAACCGAGCCAAACACAGAAGAGTAAATTAAACAATAAAGACATTAAGAGAAAGCAAGTGTTCAAGCATGTTCAAACAAAACACAGGTACTGTGTTAAACTGTATAAAACCAACCTGTGCCAAATTCCCAGTGTCCCACTTGCGATCTTTGCATTAAAATAAAACCCAGCGAGGAAGGTGTAAGCTTCTTCAGGGAAATGCTTTTGAACTAAAAACCACACACTGATGTTGAGGCAAGAATAAGCAGGGTGAAAGCTTTCACGACAGAGTCTTTTGGTTGCACAAGGGATGTGTGTTACTGGCAGCATGTGTGTTTTTGCACTTTCACATAAGGTAAGTATCATCCTGACACTGCATGGAAGGAGTCCTCCAGCTCAAAATTTCATTGAACATGAAAGGCACACTTGCACAAATCTTCTCCTGTCTATATAAACACAGTAGTTTAAGACTGCTAATATATAGATACTACTTAATTGTTAAAAATTATATACCTTTTCCTCAATCATACTCAATCATTATTAGCTTAGACCACTTACATAAATTACTCCAATAACAACTTCCCTACAAATGGATGGAAAAGAGCTAGTTGCCACTTTTGAGCTCAAACGACTGCCTTGGTTTTTTGATAGCAGCACACGACAGAAATCCACAGACCACCTTGCCTGCAGTGATTCCCTATAGAGCAGATACCCAACACACGCAGTTTGGAAGCACATTGCCAGGACTCTCATCTATCCCATTCACATCAGTCTCTTGGCCCCTTCTCTCCCCAGGTCAGGAGCAGCCATCAAGCCCAGACAAGAAAGTTTCCCTTTTCTCTTTACAGTAAGGTAAGTGTACAGAATTTTTTCTTAACTCCTTTTAAAAACCAGAGCTATCAAACAAGTCACTACCTGTGCAATAGGTGGGGACAGAAACACTGCGCTGCACTATGACGTTTTGAATGTCTCCATCAGAAAACCAACTGGCCTGCCCAGAACACAAAACCAACAAACTGCTGTTATCTATCACACAGCTGCCAAACTCCTCCCATGCCACCAGCACCTGACACTCACCACAAGAAGGGAGGGCTCGCTCCACCTGAATGCATCCTAGTGCTTGGTTTGGCACCACTTCCCTGGCCCAAATCTCCTCTACCTTCCTGGCTTACCTTTCCCTCTCCCCCCCCACCCCAGTAAGCCTCAGCCACACTGCTGCCACAGGAAAGCTGCTGTGAACTCCCAGTTTAGAAACAGAGTGTTAGTGTCACCTGAAAGGAGATGCTCCAAGGTCAGTCAAGCTTGCTGTGGGGTGGTCCTCCAGCAACAAGTCTCTCCTCAACAGTGCTATGATGATGATTAGAAAAGAGCTTGGTATTATCATTGCCAGAGCACGCCAACTTAAATCTGATTATTGCCACTGCCACGGTATCACCAAAAACCCTGTATCTGCACTGAGGATCCAGTCCTGTTACAGCACAATTGCTTGCCTTTCTTGTGGGGACTGCAGCACAGGCTTTCTGAAAGGACGGTGTCTCCTTCCAAGTCCGGTGGTGATAGGGGAGACAAGTTTTACCAGTATAACTCACAGCCGAGTGCGTTTTCCTGTCTTCATTAAGGGTTTACACCAGTGCTGCTACCTTGGCAGTCTGCCATCAATAAGCAGGTCAAACCCCTTAGTCTGGGAAAAGCCTCTCTATTGTTTTCTGTCTCATGAACAGTTCTTCAGTAACTATATATTTTTTTTGGAGAGCAGGGTGTTAGAAAACAATTGATACGAATAAAGAGCTCTCCTTCACCATGGAAAGTAAACTGTATGCTTAATAAGATGAAATAATTTGGTGTCTGTGGGTCAGAAAACAATAGCCTCACTGTTGCACTGATACCTTGCACGTTATGTCCTTGCGTCACCCAAAGCAAACTGTAATAGGGACTGCTCCACAGCTCAGATTCCCTTTAAACCTCTTAGCTAACCTCTTTTACCTCTTCAGGTTTCCCTCTTTAGCACAGACATGAACCAGTTGCTCCAGGAAACCTCAATTCCTTCAAAAAAATGAAGTTATCTTTTATGAGACTGTACTCCATTCCCCTATGTTTCTTAGAAATATCCTTAACTTTTACTCTTTATGCCAGGACTTGAGATTGCATAATTAAGCAAATAATATCAACAACTGTGACTGACTTAAAAGGGAGCAACAGCAAGTAGAGCTTTGCATTCTCTCTCTGAGCAGGATGAGAATCTGCTAATTAGTTTACTACAATGTGGGTGGAAAAAGGAGTGAACTTCAAATCAGTACACTATCCAACACAGTATTTCCTTTACAGCAAAGAATGAAAAATAACCCCAAACATAGAATAAATCTCCCTCCCTAATTCCTCCTTTTGTTTACACCAGGTTTGAGGTTACTTACACAGTGGCACAATATTAAAGATTCCATACACATCCCCATGTCTTAGGGCATAAGCCCACCTTTAGTTGTCTAGCACTGAGAAGAAACATTTCCTAGAGGCAAGCTACTACGTAACGCTCAGGATGATGTTCCTCACATCCTCCTTCTTTGATCTGTCAAATAAAAGTCACTGCAAGAAAAAAAAATGCTAAACACTTCATTATTTTATTTTCCTGCCACAATTCTATACTTATTTGCTCTTATTTTTATGGATCTTTTTATCATTACTGATGCAGACAAAACAGCCACTGGAAGCAGCCAAACAAACCATGTAAGGCATAATGAAATGTTCAACACACATGTTCACCTTCAAGATAAGACCATAACAAAAGAACACCTGAAAGCAGACTCTTTTCCCAGGTATGTTAAGTTATGTCACTTAAGTCAAATGGGTTTTAGTAGCTTAATTTGCCCCATTACTACTCAAAGGCACAGAGAACCTATCACCACCACTGTGCAACAGCAACTGCTAGGGATTTGCAAAATAACGAAGAATACCATTCAGACATCAGAGAGAGGACAGGAAAGGAAGATTCCTCCATGGGGTGGCCCTTCCATGAGGAAGATCCTCAGGGGCTACGATCCACCGTGAGCACAAGGCTCTCTTACCTGTGTGAGTGAGCATGTGCCGCTGCAGGGAATGTACCCATGGAAAGACTTGAGGACAGTAAGGACAAGGGATATTTTGCGGGCAGTCTGAGTAAGCGTTCCTCTTCCCTCTCAGCAGCTTATCTTCAGCAGTTTCCTTCTCATCCTCACTTGTTCCATTTTTGCCGCTTTCTTCCTTGAAATTGTCAGTGGACTGCAGAAACGGGCTAAATTTATTAGTGTCTGTGGTAGCCAGCATCTTCTCTATACTGGCAAACTCCCCACTTGACTCCAGATCCACACTACTGCTAAGTTTAGGCTTATTTTTTGTTCCTTTCTTTCTACCTCTTTTTTTAGTCAACCCAGCATCAGCAACAGGAGCCTGCTCTGGATCACACGCCTGAGTCAGGTCATTAGGTAGGCTGGAGTCTCTCTGAATGGTGGTCATGATTGTCACTTTTGCTTTGGCGTTCCCTGATTTGTCACACCCAGTGGAGCTGCTCACTGCCTGGGAACTGGCATCTGCAGCCTCTGTTTTCAGCAAAGCAGGAGCCGAAGACACAGATGAAATGATCTGTGCAATGGAAGCCAACGGTGGCAGCTCTTTAGTTACTGGAGGCTTTGGCAAGAGAGGTGGCGGTGGTGGTTTAGGCCTCAAGGGTCTCAGCAAGGTAGAATTGCCAAGGAGAGCCGGGGAAATGATCGGGACAGTCAAATGCAATGAACCTTTCAGTGGCTGGGGATGTCTGACACCCCTGTTTTTCTCTGAGTTCCCATTGGCACCAAAAACCAAAGGACACTGCAGACAGTTATAGGCTTTATCACTGTTCCCAGAAGCAGCCAACTCTTGATTCCTGGCTTCACATGGGACATCATTTTTATCCTTCTTCAGGGCTTTGGGGATGGACAGGTCAATAGGCTCCATGGAACAGTCGTAGAGGGACAGGGGAGAAGAGCCGAACAGGTTCTCCTGCTTCACTTGCACAGCACCCAGGTTTTTGTTCTTCTGAGAGAAATCCAACGGTTCCTCAAAATCCATCGGGAAGTTGACCGCAGGTTCAAGTTTGATGGGAACATGAGACGAGGTCCCAAGCAAGAAGCCGTTTTGTGGCTCCAGGAAAGGTGTCATGGGCTTGCGGTCCATGTAAGTGCCATCCTCCAATAAAGGAGGGTCTGTCTGGCTTTCCTGGGCACTGCAGTCCACCGCTAAGATGTAATTCTCAATCTCCCTTTCTTGCACATGCAAGTGCTGCTTGAGGATATGGTGAATGCAGTTTCTCTTGGCCGAAAAGGCTGTGCCACACTCCTTGCACTCAAATGGCTTCTTCTTCTGGCAGCCACTGTGCGTCCTCATGTGAATGCGGAGAGCCCGGTAATGCTTCAGGTCCTCGCCACACAACTTGCACACAGTGTCTGGGGAGCAGAAGGCATCCACCATCTCTGCAGCATTGCTAGTGACATATTCGATGTTCTTCTCTATATCCTTCCTGGTCACTTTGAGGTGCTTCTTTCGCAGGTGCCTCTCACAATTGGCTTTCACTGTGAATGGGTAGTGGCAGATTTTACAGATGTAAGGCCTCTCCCCGCTGTGCGTCCGCAGGTGCCGGATAAGCGCTGCCTTGTCAGCTGCAATGTAGTCACAGATGTTACACTGGTATGGGGAAATACCCAAGTGAGAACGGATATGAGCTCTGAGGACACCAGAGAAGGCAAACACCTGGTCACAGAAACGGCAGGGGTACAAAACCTTCCTCATGGTTGGGGCTTTCTTGTTCGCTGCCCCTGCAATGATGGCTTTGAGGTCTCCTTCTGTGACCTCTTGCTTGATCTTGGCTTCCATACTCAGAGGCAGGAGAGCTTCGATGATGCTGTCCTGCTCCAGTTGTGTCTTCATCTCGTGCTGAGTTAAAGGCTCTACTTTGGGCTGGAGGAGCAACTGCGAGGAAGGACTCGATTTGGCTCCTGGCTGGGGGAGGTGAGAGTTGGAGGAGGGCTCCACCGAGTTCTTGATCAGCCTCAGAGGGGGAGGTGGGAGGCTTGGGCTGATGCAGCCAGGGGAGGCTTGCTGGGCACTGATAAGAGGAGGAGGTGTAGAGGTTGCGACAACTGTTCGGGGTGTTACCAAAGGCTTTGGCTTCAGTGGCGGCATATGCTTGAAAATGGACTGCACAGGGACAGAAGGTGCCTTAGAAAGTGGAGGAAGACTGATTTGAGGAGGAGCGGAAGAAGCCATCTTCAAGATCTGCTGAATGTCTGCCAGCTCAATGGCAGACTCATTGGAGATGGGTTTTACCACAATACTGCTGTCAGGCTGGATGATAAAACCCTTCTGGAAAGGCTGCAGCGAGAGAAGCTTTATGTTTTCTTTTGTAGGAGGAAGGACTGAAAATGACCCTCCCATAGAGGCAGCTTCCAGAGGAGAGAGGCTGAGCAGACCGGTGCTGCCAGGTTCCTGAGGTAGGTTACTCTTCAGTGCTCTGAGCCGCATTTCTTGGACCTCATCTTGTGTATTGTCCTCCTGCCTGACAGGCTTGATGTCTTTGGTGTACTGTAGGCCCAAGGATGCCATGAAGGCTTTCTGGTCTGGGTTCTCACCGGGTGGGGTCGTGGACTGTGGTTTGTGCTTGTCTTTTCCCTGATCCACCACATGAGTTTCTGCGTGCAGTTTGAGCGCTGAAAGCATGGGGAATGCCTTGTTACACATCTCACAAATAAATCGATGGAAGTCACTGATGCACCTTCGCAAATTCGTTTCACACCAGACCTGCAAGACATGCAAAAATATTTAGAGTAGACATCTCAAACTGGAAAGGCATCATATGCTGCTGCAAAACAAAACGAGTTCACTCTCTCTTCCACTGCCCAAGTTAAGGAGTTTAGAGCAGCCATCACCCACCTGGCATGGAGATATTCCTGCTCCACAGCCTTTAGTCACCTAAGTGGTGCATTACGGACCGATTCTCCAGAAGTTCCCTTCTATAAAGGTAAACTCCTTCAGAGGGCTATTCAGACTCCCAAATACTTTTCCATCCTGAATTTCCCTTCCAGAAACCTCTCTCACTTCACTGACAGGACAGGAGCCTCAACAGACTATACAGCACACTTCAGTAACCTGGGCAGTAAGACTACCTCCTTTAACCTTATTACTACAAAGAAACTATGAGGAGAGGAGAGAAAAAAAAAGGCATCCAAGGAGGTAAAACAACAGAAACCAACCAAAATAATATCCCCCAAAAGCAAATCAATGAAATGCAAAGTCGAAAGCAGAAAGGTTTTTGGTTACTGAAGTCTGATTATGTTTGTTCTCCCAACAAAAATACGAAGCTCACAAATGGATTTTATACTTATCCCTGAAAATAATCACAAATCCAAATGCTGTATTTAAATGCTACCCAGATAGCTCACATGTTGCAAAGGTTCCACATCAAAGAAAAGCACAAGTGGTATATTAAGTAGAGGGCTGGCAAGATCTTTATATAGTCTACACACTTTGTTCAGATACTTCATAGGTCTTGCCTCAGAGTGCAGGTAAATTACAAAAGGCAAGTCCCAACACTTAAATCCCTTAATAACTTCAAATGTCTGCCAGTAATTACAAAAGAAATAAAACCAAGTTATTTAAAAAGTTCTTCCTTCTCCTGATTTTGTAATTTTTACACCAAAACTCTACTAGAGTTACGGAATGACCTACATGCTCCCCTGGACCAGTGGCAAATTTCAGGTCTACCACCCTGCAGCCAGAAGAGCTGGAAATCAATGCTTTAATCCAAGTAGAATAAGAAAAGTGCAGATACTGAATAAGCATGGTCCTGCAGGATTGTGCTGTTGATTTATTTCTTTCATTTTTTTAGATACATAAGCAGCTTCATCCAGACCCAAACTAACTAAAGCAAGTAAGGTTTGACAGAGGGAGGAATAATATCATCCAATAGAAAGCTTTATGGCTCTCAGAAAAATATTTACAGACTATCTCCCTGCCTTTCCCAGCCACTGTCCCTCAAAGGTGCAAAATCTTCAGATCTCACCTAAGGAACACAGTGAAAAGATGCCTGGGAGTGTTCTGTGAAGAAATCACTGAAGATGTCACCATTTAGTAAGTAAGGTGACTTCCCAAAGTTTTTAATGATAAAATGTTTTACATCACAACTACATCCTGGTCACAGTAAATTAAAATTAATAATGTCTTCCTTATCACATGTCCTCCCTATTGATTTTAGATGTGGGATGGTTTTGGGAAGGAGAGAACTAAAGGGCAGGTTGGAAGGGGCAAGGATCTAATATCACCAAAGTTTTCCTTTAAAATATTTTTATAGATCTTTACACCAACACTGGAATGCTGAAAAAAAACCAGCCCAAATATTTTTTGGATGAAAAAAGGAAAGCAGAAAGTGTTTGAAGCCTACACAGACAGTGGTAATATGCCTTCCACAAAATATTCTACACCCAGTCTCTGCCTCATCAAGAACAAGTCTTTCAACAATTTCAGAAGATCTGCACTGTATCAGCTGGTACCTTAAGCTATCAAGAACAGAGAGTACCTGAGAAATGCGGGGGAACTTCCTACAGGAGAAGTCCGTGAATCCCAAGTCATGGAAGCCTGCCGGAATCGAAGGGTTGTTCTGAATGAAAGGCTTTCCCATGGGATCTCTCGGAAGCTGCTTGTGGATAACTGCATTATGGCGCAGTAAGCCTCGATGAGTACGAAAGGTAATACAACAGATGTCACACCTGGAAAGGAAAGGAATAAAATAGAAATGACTTACTGACTGCTGCAAGCTTAAGAATTAGCATTCTTCTTGCGTTAGGACAGCCTCCTTCCTCTTGCCCCATGATACTAAGAACTTGCTAAATGCAAAACAAAGCCACAGTGCGTCTAAAACCTGTCACCACAGAAAGGCCATTTCAATCACAGTCACTTTCTACCAGTTTCTGGCTATTAAGTGCACTGGAAGTTTATAGCACATGACAACTGAGTGTCCCACATGGGCAGACAGCAAAGTGGCAGCTGAGACCACAGCCTTCTGACAAACTTTCCATTGTCCGATACAAAATATTTCAACGGCTTTACACCATTTCATTTATACTAAAAAGTACTATTAGAATAAAAGAAATTTTAAAAAGAATCAGTGACAAGGAGAGGCTAAATCAGACCTAAGTAGCAAGCACCTGCAAATGTATAAATTGCACCTTTTTCAACCACTGTTTAAAACATACTACTGCATACCACTCAAATACCCATGTATGAGTTTTCTCCACGCTGCCTTTCCATAAACTTTCACTGATTTTTCTCAAAGCTGTTACAAGAAATATACTGTTCTAAAAGGAAAACTAGTGCTCCTAGTGTTCCCCTTGAAGGGGAGGAAGGTCAGAGGAGGAAGACTTGAAACAAGTTCAACACTTCTGACACTCATACACCCCCTCACAGCCAGTCTGCCCCCCCCCAAAAAATGCAGAAGTGATGTCTTTTCCTACCCACACTTTATTGCTATGATTTCTTGTTTTTCTTAAGTTCTCAAATCCCAAATTCAGCTAAACAAAACTTTCTCACATAAAGTGGACTTGCGTTAAACAACCAGAGGTACTGGAAATGCAGCTATGCTGCAGGCAGTAAGGACTATGCAGCAACATTTGGCCAACACGTCAACAAACAGGCCTGTTGCCTTTTAAATACCTGGGATTTGAGGTCTGCAGCATGATAGGTCACGTCCACTCTGCATTCAACAAGTGACACACAGTTTCACTCAACATGGTCCCTTGTGGTTACAGCTCCAGCTCGCTACCAGAGCATGGGTTTCACAGAAGCAAACACCAGTTGAATGCGAAGCAGCCAGGTTTTGTCAGTGGGAGTATTACACACATTAGGAGTTTTTCACATGTCTCCCCCTGCCTTAGTTCTCCCCATATTGTCTTTGCCCTCCACATCAAGGAAAAGGACATGTGCCTACTCATTAAAAAAACATCCTGCAATTAGAAATTACTTCTGACAAAATCCTGAAACGACTCCCTCCCTGTCCTGTCCCTAACAAGCTCCCATTGTTGTTCTTTTTAGCACTAAATAAACTTCCACAGACCTTTTTTATTCCCTGAAAATGAAGAGATAACCAAGTCACTCACAAAGCAATTGGATTTATAGTCTCTGAGTGGTGAAAGAAGCAAGTGTGAAGTATATGTAACATGGCCTTTGTTATCACGGTACCCAGAAAGTTGGGACATAAATATTATGCAGTGGAGGTTTAATCTGTTTTCTCTCCTCTGTTAATTCACTTGTATCCTACTTTTATAATTATTGCCAGTGTAGTCCCCGCATTCCATTAAATATCAAACCAATGCCATTTCCAAAGCAAACGTTCACTTCAAGAGATCTGCTAAATGTGACAACAATCTCTGGTGGTGGCGAGGGAATGCCAACACACAGCGCTCCTCCAGCATTGGGATCTACGGCTCTCCTCCAGCTCACTTGGCAGTACCTATCCTGTGATGCAAAGCTTTCATCCTCAGCGAAAACAAAAACACACAACCACCAAAACCGCTGGGGGAAGGAGGGTATTAAAGGGGTAGAGCAGTCAACTGAAGAACTTGCAGGCTACTGAAATAAATTCTTTTTTAGAGGTGATGAAAACACCTCACGTGAAAGCAAGCAGTGCTTCTGGCACACTCCTCCTGGTACATCAGCATACAGACACCGAGGGCTTGCAAGCAATGCTCCTGCACTGCTGGGAGCATCGCCGGCGGTCTGTGGGGCCAGCTGTTCTGCGGAGGGACACAGACCCTCACCTTGGGGCACCTTGAGGCAGCTCTGGGGGCCCCAATGTGCCTGACCTCCCTCAGATCGCCAACCCAATGGCTGTATCCCCTGATATGTGATGGGGTAGGTACAGCTACCATTGATGGGATCACAGAGCTACTGGGAGAACTGGCGCCTGCCACGGTACCCCCAGGATTTGGGCTGTGCAGGAGCCAGCGCTCCTGGGCAAGCAGCCAGCCCCCGACGCTGTGGGGAAGTGCACCTCGTCCATCTTACACTCCCTCACCTCCATCGGCTGTGTGACATGCTGATTTTAAGCACTGGTTTATTTAGGGCTCCTATCAAAAGCTGCACTTGAGAGTAAATCTTGCAGAGCAGAGACCCGTGTGAAAGTCCTTAGCAGTACACCTGTATCAACTACTATGCCTCAGGACAGTAAAAATTTGCAATTTAAAAATGGTGTTTTCCATGTAAAGGGAACCACCTCCCCTCCTCTAAAACAAAAGTAATGTATCTTTAAAAAGGAATATGTACTTTCTCTCTTTTACGATGCATAGAATTAAACACCTCTCTCTATTTTTCTCTTTCCTCCTTAGTCTCCTCTTTTATTTTCCTTGCTGTGAGTGAAGTAGCAGCAAGCAAAAAGAGAAGTCAGGAAAAGGATTAAGCTCTTTTTCCATTTGTTCAAAATGAAGCTCCTGGCTGAAAAAAGAAACATCCAGATAAATCACGCCTGTCATCTCGAGATGCAGGCACTTCAGGGCATATAAATGCACTGTGCCCTTGCTCAGCACCTTCCCCTGGTGTCACAGTTTACAGGATCACATTGGAGGGACCCGTGGATGTCCTCCCTTCCTCCATGGTCCACCCACACCTGTAAAGGCAGCTGCAGTTTGCAGAGCTGGAATAAAAACAGCCTGAGAAAAGCCCTCCCTGAAAGACATGCGGAGCAGCTTCTCCGGGGCAGGCTCCCCAGGCAGCCCAGCGGGCTCCAGCAACTGCGCTGGCACCTTGCACCCGTGCTGCTCGCCAAGGACAAGGGAGGTCATTGTAAAATTGTAAAGCCGCTCCTGATGTTGAGGGGTGCCACTGCACTGCCACCTCAGGAGGTCTCCAGGCTCCACAGACCTCACTTGGGCTTGTCACTCTTCCCTATGGATGCAAGCTATTTAAAATACACATCCCATTTGCCCAAGTGTATGCACAACATTTTTTTCGTGTGTGCGTGTTTTTGTTGAGTTCCCTCCCCCCCACCTCAAGGAGGGAGTCCAAGTTTCTCCCAAATGACATGACTTGAACTTTGAATACAATTAGCAACACAAACACAGATACAGACGTGTAACATCCCTAAGAAAAACTTACGGATACTAAACTTCAAAATCTAACTAGTTAAGGCAAGCACCATGTCCCTTGACTAAGGCTTGTGTTAATTTAAAATGGAGTAAGCTACCATGCCTAACAATGCAGTCACTGGAAGCATTATTTTTTTTTAAGGAAGCCTAAGCATTAATTTCTCTGTTTTGTCAACAGTACCATTTTCCATCTTTAGGTAATGTCAATGCCTACAGTGTTTTTAAATCTAAAACCACAATCTAAGAAGGACAAGAGAAAGGAATCCTAGGTGATATTAGTATATTTTCGTCTTGCTTAAATTGCTTTAAAAAAAAAAGTTACAATAATTGCGGAAAGTCTGAAAAGTCCAGCATATCAAATAAAGCATCTGAAACATATGGTAATACTTTGCTCATGATGAACTTTAAAAAAACCAAACCAAAACACCAAAAATACCCCCCTCTCCTTACAATTTCACAAGTCTGCTCATGTGTAGTGCCAAGTCAAACACGGATGATACAGCTGCAGAGACCAGAGATGGGAACAGGTTCTGAGGTTGTCAGCCTCTGTTGAGGCAGAGCAATGGCTCAACACCTTAGCAGCAATAAAAGCACTCTACCTGCAAGGTACGTTTCCAGATGTGGCTAATAAAAGCTGCTGTGTTATCATGTGATTGCTAGTCTTGGCCATAGTTTTCCATTTTTCTATAAATATGATTACAGAGCAGAGAGAAGAAAGCTGTTCAGTTCCAAGCACAGAGATTCAAGTCTAAGTAAAAAGGAAAAAACTACTTTTAGCAGCTAAGACCGCTTTAAAATGAGCTTCATTCTCAATTGCTTTTCCCTTCCAGAGTTGTTCATACCTGTACAATGTGAATGTAATACTAGGGCTCTGGCTCACTGGCAGAGGTGTACAAAGCAAGCAGGTGAGAAAACAGAACTGCTACAACCCAAAAGCAGAACCAAAATATAACTGTGCGATGACAGTGCAATGACCAGGCTGCCCTTGGTGCTCAGGCTGAATATCACACCAGGTGAGTCTGTTTAATTATTACTACACCAGAGCACCTTTCTCATTTTTTTTTAAATGCAGACAAGGTCTCTGTGTAAAAACACACTATTTAAAAGCTTTCTACTAAAATAAGTTAGTATTCTTGAAATCTGTAATGCTAATTAGGATATACAAGCATTTTAACAGGCTTTAAGAAATAGTCAATGCTTTGTGTGCCTTGTTCAAGAGGCAAGCCAGGATTTGCTACACTTAGAACAAGCAGCACCTATGCAAGAAAAGTTTACATACGCAATGCCTGTTGCCTTGCATTTTACTCTCCTCTGAGCCAATTCCAATTTGTCAGCAATGGAAATAGCTTTTTTTCTTTAAGAAAAGGGAAGACATTTTAGAAAGGAAATGCAGAGCCAAATTTTAAGCAAAATTAATCAGTCTTGATTTTGATTAAGAGTAATGCAGTCAAACATTCAATCCTTCTAAATTTTTTATTTCAGTAGTCAAGATGCAAATGCCAAATATTTATATCCATCATTCTGCTACCAAGAAATTAAAACAAACACTACACTCTGGATAACCTGAGACGAGTGGTGGGAAAGAGAAAGTAACATTTAGCATTCTTCTTAAACTTCTGAAACCACACAAG